GGCTCACGACCAGTTCCCCAAGCACTGTGAGCAGTGGCTCAAAACCACCATACAACAGCATAAACACTTGGCCATCCCGCTCCACTTGCCCACTCACCGTTTGCGGGAAGCAGCTCACAAGACCCTCCGGGCACACCTCCACAACCACCGCACATGGGAGGGTACACTACTTACCCCTCCAACCTCCAGCGACCTGCCATGCGCCTGCGCCCACCTACAAACCCTGCTTCTCGATCCAGCCACACCCACTGTCGACAGCCATTACATTCTTACCCTTGATCAACTCGCATTGCCACCGCATCTCCGCATCTTCTTGGCAGCCAATATGAACAGCACCTTTTACCCCAGCAAGGCCAGATGCTTCCTTTCCTTCCAGACCGCCTTCACAAAATGGCTGCGCATTCAAGGCCTCCGACCCTCTCTTACACAGCACCTGGAACCCTTCCTCCAACATCAATGGAGGCTCCACACCAACCATTTGCAACACCAACCCCGCTTCACGGCTCGTCTCCTTCGACAACTCCAGGAGTTCCTGGGCGACCAAGTCGTGCTCCACCACGCAGATCACGAACTGCAGCAACTGCGCATTTTCTGCCCCCGCCAATACTTCACCGGGGCACTTGCCACATGGCAATCACCGGAACTCTTTGCACCTATGCCAGCACTCCAACCGTCCAATATCCACGAATACCTGACACACACCATCCCCTCCAACCTCCGCTCACGTTACAAATGGGGCTTCAGAAAAGATTTCGCAATCCCTTACGGCATCGTCCACCTCAAGGAGAAGAAGCAGTGGAAGAAGGGCCGCACTATCATCTCATACTTTCAGTCCCTGAGCGACACGTCCGTAAGGGCCGCACTATCATCTCATACTTTCAGTCCCTGAGCGGCACTCTCCTCCGCATCACCAGCCGAGCCTGGACATTATCCTGCAACACCTCCTCCCCCAGCATCCAGGTCAACTTTCCATTCCACAACTGTGGTCCCATTTTCACTGCTACCTCACCGACACCCCTCCAGACATCTCCCTCCACGCCACCAATGATGATCTTGTGGGCTTCTTCAACTCTGTCCCACAGCACCGTCTCATTGACGCCGTTCGTTCCCTGGTTCAGCAATGGCAATCCCAGCACCACACCCCTACTCTGACAGTGGACACCAAAGCTACCGGCAATCCCTTCCATCACTCCCACATTGGCAGACACCACCGACGCCACCCCACACAACGCACCATCCACACAGCGGATATCACACCCATTGTGGCATACGCACTTGACACCTGCATTTTCCGGGCATGCAACAACACCTACAAACAAATCCGGGGAGCTGGGATTGGCTCTCAGCTCTCCCCTGCCCTATGCAACGTTGCCATCACCCTCATCGAACACTCCTGGCACCAGCTCCACCACAATCTCCTGCAACACACAGCCCTCCACTTCACCTACTATCGCTACGTGGACAACCGTTTCATTGTGCACAATGAGCAATTCCTTTCACATCCCGCCATTCAGACCCTCATCCACAACAATTTCTTCGGCGACCCCGTCGAACTGGAGACGGTGGATGATTTTCACCTGTTGGGTTTCAACATCAACCTCCAACAACGCACCATCACCTACATACAACCCACCCAACCCTGGAAAATCAGGGACCACACCAGCGCCGGTAGCCAGCGCTTGGCTCTGTCCGGCTTAGCTTCGAGACTTCACTCCATCTACACATACACCTTCCCACCCCACCACGCCACCGCTGCGGCTGACGCCTTGGTCAACCTCTATGCCCAAAAAGGGCATGACCTGCGCGCATGCAGGCGGTTTTTGCGAGAAAAAAAGAATCCGCCTTTCCACCGTTTTGTCTGTGCGCCGATTACGGCGTGCTGTGTGTGTCACACCCTGATTCTAAGGGTTTCCACTCTCTTACCTTCCGCTGCAACTGAGACACGTACCACTTTCCTCCCTCGTTTTCATGCAGCAGGGGCGTGTGGCCTTCTTGTCCTACCACACGCAACGAAGCTGTGGACAAGAAGGGGAAGCAGGGACTGATCATCCCTGTGTACCTGCAACCGAAACTTTTGACCACGCTGTCTAATCTGCTTGGTTTGTTTCCATGGTTTTTCATGATACCTCCCCCTAAACCTTTTCCTCCCCAGCAGAGGTGCAGCTTGAGCCGCTTCGTCACCGCAGTCAAGGGAAACAACCATGGTTCAAACACCTACAATTTCTCGGACTTTTCGCCATGCTGTTCCACCGCCATCCTTCCCATCGTGGCAATTGAGTCTAACTGAAAACAAAGTTCGAAGTGTGTCTTGCGCCTGCAGTTTAATGTGACTTGGGCCGTTACACGCGCGGCTCAAAAATTGTAGCCGCAACCCACTGGGCTGCTGACGGAGAGGCGCTCAGGAGGAAAAACCGTTATATAGCTTTTCAAGAGGGAACCTGCGCCGTTTTGAAGTTCATTGATTAAGGAGAGCTTCCTAGTTGGCGCGCTCGCATGTTGCTGGGTCATGTCCACTGCAGATTTTGCGACCACCTCAATCACCACGTTGCTTTCATCCCAACCCCTCTGGTCCGGTCGCTGCCGCACTGCACCACCGGCGCGCACCTTTGGCAGGGGCGCTAGTGGCGCGCGGGAAAGCGAGTTGGAGTCAATACAAGAATCGAAAAGTTGAAAAAAAAACAAGGAAGAACAGGATTCCATAAAAACCTCACAATACAGGATTTTATAAGACCGCGAGTTGGTGATTTTCTAGGAAACCTCTTATTTACCGAACACTGTATGCCGGAGTGGGCCCTAGAAAAAAAAGAGGTTTGAGGAAAATACTGTCGCTACCCTTATGTTTCCTCCTAATTATTCTAAGTCGCGTAATCTGCAATGATTTCGATAATCCCGATCCCCCTGAATGCACCTTATCTTCGGAATGCAAATCCATCTAAGCCCTCTAGCATCACTGTTTACAAACTGTTCACAGAGACAAATTCAGCCTTCATGATCTCCAGCATCCTGCAAGCAAAGGCAACAGAAAGACATTCAGAAGATGAATGTCATCCCCAAGTCATTCACACCATTCGCTTTCCTATTGTCCGGAGCTGTGAGGGGAATATCAACACATCAAAAGACAAAACAACAGCACTGACACACTCTTTGCACCCCAATTGGCCGAAGTGCCTGGTGACCAAAAGGAGGTTCAGGCTTCTCGGCGTTCTCCTTCGGCACCTCCACACAACGTCTTTCATGTCTTCTACTATGATTCCCATGCTCTGAGCAAGACAAGCATGTGTAAGTAAAATATAACGCGCATGAACTTCCACTTCCACTGGCACACTGGTGCCCAACCCCGCAGCTTCCGCTGCTCCGCGATCTTGGGCACCATCCTGGGAGAAAACACAGTCTTCCCAGTGATTTCCTTTTGGTTCCTTTTGATTTTCTTTTGGTTCCTATTGATTTCCTTTTCATTCCTATCAATTTCCTGTTGCTTCCTTTTGATTTCCTCTTGGCTCCAACTGATGTCATGTTGATTCCTATTGTTTTCCTTTTAGTTCCTATTGATTTCCTCTTGATTCATTCGAGGCATTCTAACTCTTTGGTGTGCTGTCGCATTTTAACTTCCAGTCCTATACACAGGGATTTAGACTCACAGAGACACGAACGGAAACTAAGCGGCAAGTGGCCCCGGAGCTTTCAAACGCACACGTATACGTTCAGTATGTCGGTATGTCTTTCTTTACGTTCCGCAGGCGGCATGTGTGGACCAGTGGACCACGCGTTTTTCTACTTGTCGAATCGTCCGCAGGCGTGACCAAGCCCTGCGGACACCGCCAATCGTCCCGCTCCCCAGCGTCGCGCTGCGTTTACGCATGCGTGCTTTTAGACTTTTAGATAACCCTTCGTATGCCAGGTCAGGCAGGAACACTGAATAATTAAAAAATCACCAGCAACACGCACGGTCTCCGCTTATATTATTATCCTATACGAGAAGTTGCGTTTTAAGGTGCAAAATCTGGTTACTTGAAACCATGAGAAAAAAGGTCAACGAGAGCATTTCCGGCGAACTTCCCTAACCAGATATTGTATTTTTCTTTGCCCTCAAGGCCAAACAAATCGAAGAGAACATGCTAATCTTCTAACCCGGGCAAATTTGCTTTTATAAAATACTGTACAAGGGCAACTAAATATGCTGAAGGTCTTGAGCAACTAAACTTCAGTTCGAGCATTTTGCCAGTCTGGTCTTGGTCCCCAACAAGATGTGAAACCAATGAACATGAATCTATACTTCTGTCCATGCTCTGCATCCCGTTTTTCACCTTTCAGCAGGATGCTGCAGAGCAGGAGAACCTGGAGCAGTGGCGACTTCAACTTAAGATCTGATCTTATAGATTTCTGTCCTCCGTGGAAATTTTCAACCTTTTTCAAAGCCAATTGGACCAAGAGGAAATCAAAAGGAAACTTTTGATGATTACATATAATTGTTTGTTCGCTTATAAGTGCTAAATTTTCGACTATGTGCAGTGGTTTGTTGGTGTTTTTTGCTGTGGGTTAGCCGCGGTGTTGAAAATCGCAATGCAAATCGGACTGAAACCATGAGATTGGAACATTGATATACCATGGTATATCCGTAGCATTCTAAGTGTTAAATTCCTCGCAATAATGTACAGGCGTTTGGGCCATGGATTTGACATTCCAAAACACTTCCATAACGCATTCTAAGACTATTTTTCCCGCAGCCTGTGCATTCAAAGTGCAAATTTTGCTGTGGGATACCTAAGTCTCAGTCCGTAGGTATAATTCTTGTGTTTTGACACCTTTGCGGTTGTATGATGGTGCTCGGCAATGTTTTGGTTAGATAGATTTAGCCTGCTTAGGCGACGGAGCGCGGTGTTTCCACATGTCAATACTAGTTGCTATTCAATACTACTACAATACAAATCACACAGCATGTTCACGCTAGGAACTGTTGAAAGAGGGCAGTGGCAACCAAAAAACAAAACTTCGCCTACCAGGAGAGTTTGTCAGAAGTGCTGGAGGCCAAACTCCAGGCCGGCATTGGTGACCTAGTCCTGACTTCGAAAGTCTGTTCAAGCTGCGCAGGTCCTAGGCCTCCAAGAAGAAATAGTAAAGTCAAGAAGCGGACAAAAGCCAAATCTGGCTATACCAGGACACTCTCAGCTCAAAGCAACAGCACTTCACAAAGTGGGGAAGTTGTTTGCAAGATGTTTTTCCTGCATGGGGTCGGTTCTTCGGCACTGTCACTATCAGAGGACTCAACATCCTTATGGGTAGATGGGCTGATGCTCGGCTGCAGCTGTTGCGTTCACTTCTTGCAGGTCATGGAAACCCAGGCTATTTTGCATCCAAACGTCAGGACCTCAAGCGGTTTTCGATCTACAACCTCTATCAGGAATGCAACCTTCGTGGACAGGGTTTGGCATTCAACTCGGTGACTTGGATCAAGTGAACGATTGCCATCAAAGCGTGAGGGTTGTTGCTTGATGTTTGTCCTTGCGTGTTTGCATTGTTGCGCCGTTGCTGCCTTGAACGAAGGATGATGAAATGTTTTCTTTTCTTGTCACCAGTTCCGACGCAAAGATCGATCAAATCATCCAGAACTTCAGCTGCAAAGAGAGTTTTTGTTTCGACCTTGAGAGGTTTCACAATCCAAATTTGCTTCACAGTTGTAAAGCACCTACTTAGGATTGACAAAGACGTGCTTGTCTCACGTTTTTTGGCTGCAAAAAGTGTGCTGGAATCAGCCACACACTCAGATGAGTTGTTGTTTTTGTTCCCCACATCTTAGTGTGAGGTTCTTCTTTTCTATGTCTCATCCGCCTCCCGCCGCCTCCCGCCGCCCGCTTCCCGCCGCCTCCGCCTCCTCCCTCCACACCACACACCGAGACGACACATACAGAGATCACAAGAGATCACACACACACACACACCGAGACAACACACACAAAGATCATGTGCAGATTTCGTGGCAGGCACTGCACTTTGTGACAACACACACCGAGACGTCACCAGAATTCGTGGCAGGTACAGCACTCTGTGAACCTCCACTCTCCGTTCGAGGCTCTGGCTGTTGCGTGGTCGGCGCCGGTGGTCGCCGGTCTGTTCCTCCATTGTGATTAGAGTTTTCACTTGTTTCTTGACGCGCAGACTTCGTGGCAGGCACAGCACTTTGTGAACCTCCATGTGCAGATTTCGTGGCAGGCGCAGCACTTTGTGACAACACACACCGAGACGTCACCAGAATTCGTGGCAGGCACAGCACTTTGTGAACCTCCATGCTCCGTT